GCAACGTGTTTTCTGAAAGTGGAATACTTCAACGGGAACTAATTAGAGCGGAAGAGAGATTTGAAATCTGTGCAAACTCTGTGAACAAAAAACTTGGATCTGCATTGAGTACTAGCTGTAGATGTAGATGATCTTATTGAGGCACCTCTGGTATTAGACGGCAACATATGGAAAAGTCTGAAACACCAACATTTACAAGGTTTTCAAGTATTTGATAAGTCATCAGCAAATCATATCACTAATTCCTCCATTCGAGACTTTTAAGACCAAGTTTCGCATTTCTTGTGCTCCCATTAGGTATGTCAGCATAATGAAGGCCCGAACACCTAAGCATCAGCGTTCGGGTGAAGTTATTCTTTCAAGAGCCCGGATATCTTTTTTGATGTAGGGATTGAACCCTAAGGATCCATGTTCCTAAATGAGGCGCACATAGGGTTTGTATGCATGCAAAGAACTTCCTGATTTCTAGAACGAAGGGCCTTGAATAGACTGAAGAAACGACGATTGCCTTCCAGAACCAACATACATATTGCAGCGCTTCTTAAGATTCAACCAGTAATCATAGTAAAAACCTAGATCGCGACTTTCCGAAACTGCTCTAAACACTTGATCTGCCACCATGTAAACAGCACTGACAGAATGAGAACCAAACCGCATAACCTGAGTTTTATCGGACAACAAACTGCGACCATTTGCAACGCCCACGTCACGACCTTATCAATTGCCTATTGTACAATGGGGTCAGAACTGGAATCATTAACCACTTTGGATATTTTTATATCATCAGCGAACATATTACAAGATATGTCGAGAACTTGAGTGATGAGGGAAGGTTAGCAGTATACAGGAACGAAAATTCAGTCCGGCACTCGGCTCTTACAGTATCCGGCTCGTGTTAACACGCGAATTTTTACCCGTCACATATACGACGCGTCGAAAAGGGGCTTTGGGCAAGGACACGGGGGTGGATGAAGGGGTAAGCCAGGGGGTTACTGTAAGAGCCGAGTGCCAGCTGAATTTTCTTTTAGTTAGCATTATATGTAGATGTTGAACAGAATAGGTGAGAGCACTCCAACTTCGTTGATAGCAATTCTAACTCTGGAAAGGGACTCACCAACGAGAATCTGGAATGTCCTATTATCAAGAAAATCCTGAATCCTATTAACAATCAGCAGATGCACACCAATATGCTTCAATTTAAAAATTAAGTCCTTATGCGACACTGTCAAAACCTCACTGAATTCAAAAAAGATGACATCCTCATTTCTTCTCGAGTCAATCGCACTTGTCCATGAGTTCAAGCAAGACAGCAAAGCTGTTTCAGTCGACTTGCCAGAGCAGAAGCCATGCTGTGAGTGTGGAATGATGCTATGCTGAACCAAATGCTCCAGTAAGTATTTCTTTATACCTTCTTCGAAAGCAGAAATAGTCGTTAAGCCAATCGGTCTTAATTATTAGGGCACGAAAACGCTCTTATAGGAAGCGCGAACACAATGGAATGTTTCCATTTTCAGGGGACTTCGCCTCTCATGAGAGTTAAGTTAAAAAGGGACTCCAGAGGTTGACATATTTCGACAAAACAATTTTCTACTACAACGAGGAATACCCTCACAGTTCGTTCTAGCCGCAGACGACCATTTATCAAGAATGTCAGCAATGGTTGACTTGTCAAACCATGGGGGTGAACGTTGGCCAACAATTTCANTATTAGGGCACGAAAACGCTCTTATAGGAAGCGCGAACACAATGGAATGTTTCCATTTTCAGGGGACTTCGCCTCTCATGAGAGTTAAGTTAAGCAGGAACTCCAGAGGTCGACATATTTCGACAAAACAATTTTCTACTACATTGAAAGGAATATCCTCACAGTTTGTTCTAGCCGCACACGACCATTTGTCAAGAATGTTAGCAATGGTTGACTTGTCAAACCATGGGGGTGAACGTTGGCCAACAATTTCAAACGTACACATGTAAGGCATGAACCGGAAGACAAAGAGGACATATTTTCAAACGAGTACGCCAGTAACTTAGCTTTATCTCTCTCCGTATCAACTCCTGCCAAATCGTCAGCCTATAAGGTTTTTGCACCACCTTTCAGAAGCCTCTTCCTTTCAATATACGAATTATATTCAAAGACGAAGGTTCAGAATTGCTGGAAACATTCCAACTAAGTCAATTGACGCACTCATAGCTTCAAAAACAGCAGTCTTAAAATCTCTGATCCAAGAAACCTTGAAGTGCAGACTGGGAGAGGAAAGGCAAAATTTGACAACGGCGTGATCGCTGTACTAAGTGGAGGCCCTTATTTGATATTACGAATGAGTGTATTGTCATTACACAAAAGTAAATCCAGATGAGAGTCAGAACGCGTGGAACGCGTGGGGAAACATTACAGTGTCAATCAAATGATGGGATGCGCATATGTAACTTGAAAAACTTAGAGACACAGGTGTTACCATGAGAGACAAGACTACTACTAAAATAAGGTCAACACCAACAACAACACAGAAAAGCCCCACACACCTGCACAAAAGTCACTTATTGCTTTAAGGAATTAATCATTTTTTGGAAAACTGCGCGAGGGTGCTCTATAAACCGCAATGACTCAAATCTCCAAAGAATGAAACCAGATATCACAAATCAAAATTTCATATGAGTCGGCCACAGCGATGTACGCCGAATGAAGGCATTTAACCAAGACGGCAATTCCATTCCCTCGTTTGGGAAACCTGTCGGCACGAAACCTTTAATATTGTGTTACCACTAGTCCAAGCAACGGTCATATCAGTGTTAGAGTTGAACCATGTCTCAGACTAAGAGCAGATCTACCTTTTCCTCAAAATAACAGGATACTAATGCATCAGCATTTTTTGCTGCTGATCTTATATTGGTTAAGACCTTTAATGAACAAACGATTTAGCCGCGGAAAACTCAATTGTTTCCCTGCCTAAATTAGCATCGACGGAAAATGCTTCTGCTTCAGAATTATAACTTGAGTTACAGGAGCAGATACAGCATCAAAAACACGACTAGACGGATCAGAACGAGGAACATGAGTATTTGAGCCAGAATTTACCCCAACACGAGAAGCTTTTTAACTAAGCGTACCTCACGATACCGCAATCTTTCTTCCAATGATGAAGAAGGGCGAAGGAAAACGCCCTGATAATCGTTAGAGCGCAACCGCGGTGCCCTCCTAACTGCCATTTCTTGAAAACGAGACACAGGAAAGAAAACTTTAATGAAAAAATTAAATTAATCCTCTCCCGCGAGCATAGCGGAGTTGCGATCCTTCTCAGTAGCACCGTGTTACGGAAAATTTATAGCAGGCGACAACTCTGCAAATGCTGTCAAGCCCGAAAATGAAATGGAGTTCGGCGCATGACTTGATTCGTCATTCTAAGAGCATTCTGGATCATGCAGGATTACAGCGGCAGACATAATGACATACTCTTGATAATCCATACGGATGCATCAGGTGTCGGAACGGAGCA